TACAGATTGGCCGTACGGAGCGGGTCCGCACCGGACGGTCCGCGTGACACTAAAACCGGCCTTATGGGACTACTAGCTTTCGCTAGTGCATCCTTCGCTCGTATCAGCCAAATGACGTCCACTGCTGGACAAAGGCCTCCTCCAAGGATTTCCATAACGAACGGTCCTGCGCCGCCCGCATCCAGGCACCTGCCGCGACCTTCACCAGATCGTCGGTCCATTTTGGGGGCCCACACTAACGCATACTTTCTCTACATTTTCGCTAAGCCTGAAAATTTTCTGAAAATCTTGAGGGCCTCCTGAACCAGACCAAAAAAACAGTCCCTAAAATTGCCTAATTCAGACAATGTTGTCTTTCTTTTGGACTAAAACCCTAGCAATTTCGCGACAACTTTCAAGGAAGTAAAAAAAACTACACCTGAATAAACTGTAACCGATTTGAAACCAAATATTGTCATCAAAAACTCATTTTAAACCCAAGGCTAAATATTTGTCCATGTTGCGAAGAAGTGTGCAAACTTGCAAGCATATTTGGTGCAACGGCAGATAATGTTTTTTGGATTTGTTTGCTGACGTAAAACAAGCAGAATAACTTGTTTTTTAGAAACTACAAGTCATCATACCATTGTTTAGTCGACAGCACGTCACTATACACCTGTTATGTATTTTTTCAGTACATTACAAACGTCAAAAAAGCCTTTCCGAATTTACAGTTTTCAGGATACGTTTCCCTTTCTGCACCAACATTTTACTGGCTGAACAAAAAGCTATCTAATGATATAAAAGCAAATCCATTTTAACGTTAACACCTATGGTTTATCATTTTACTTGTTGCTTAGCTGGTTTTATTAAAAATCCGTGTTATACATCTGTTACGTTATTATAGCTTATGCGTCGCATGATGACATAGGCCCGATCTCTAAATTTACATTTTTGTCTTGATCACTCATCTTTAATCAAGTATGAACTTTTTATAACATACATATAATAGATAACATCCCTGCGCTCAAGCTGGAAATCTTATTCCAGAAACCGCGCCATTACCAGCTATTGTATTTTTTGAGACCGTAATGAAACACTTTAAAGAATTCAAGCTTAATTTTCTGATTTGACATTGACAAGATTGTATCTATTCTTAAATGTAAAGTCATACTTAGTGTCGTTTTAAAATTGTGGATTTATGACACAGCGTGTAAGTATGTTAAAGTAACGTATGTAATAAACTGGTATAATCCTCGTATCTTAATCCAAGACGGAAAGACGAGACGAATTTTACTGCCTTTTAAACAACAGATTATAAAGTAAAATAAGAATTTTGCAAGGTTTTTGTACATTGTATGATAGCATGATTTTTGGTGTGTAACTAGTGGAAAAAAATGTATGTGCCTTACAAAAACAGATTCAGATACAGACAGAACTTGTGTCGGGCCACATCAATTTGATAGTCAACGTTAGATCATGCTTTCCTTTTGAGTAATTCTGCTTTTACCGCAATTACCCTCAAGCTTACATATTTTTTTCATCAATTGCTGCAACAATACATCTCACCGTGACAAATGTTTTAGAAGTAACTGTTATATCTTTAAATATTGAGTATAAACTAGGCTCCGTCACGAAAAATGGCCCTAATGAATGTCTTCTCATCTCCCTTCATTCAAACTATATCAAATTCCTGTCAGTTCTAATGGTATCAGTATACGATATACCTAATCGGCAATTGCAGCGATGACATCTCCATCAAATAATGCACACACACTGCACCTTTGTGAACAAATAGGCCAGGTCACCGAGCTGGTTTTAGAATAAATGGCACATTGTGTTGGGTCGCATGTCAGATGCAATTGACCGGGCCGGGCATAGATGCTGATTGTTTTGACACAGTAGAAGGGAAGAGTAGTACATCTTCAGACAAGCCATAACATACATAGACTATTTCATAAGGAAGTGGTTTCTAAGGTGGTGGTGGTACAGTTCAAAGAGTGGCTTAATAGTGTAAAAGGCATTGACATTACTTTTTTATGCGCTGTCAAAACATGATCTTCCAAAGATTTGGCATTGAGACTGAAGGTATCAGGTCGCAAATTCAATTTTCTGAGAATTAATTTGAACTACTAAAAATCGATTTTCAGAGCCAATTGAAAACTCGATTTTAAGAGCTAGAGTTTTTTAAAAGAAGTCGAGTTTAACACACGCTGTGTGGACGCAAACATTTTTAAAATTAAGACCTATAATTATGAAGCCTCACTGTACCATTTTACTGTGACTTAATAGACAGTATCTATGGTTTTAATAGGATGTAATGTAATTTAGATACGATCGTTGCACATCTTGCATGCCAAAAGAAGTATTCATCTTCCAATTACAGAGGCACTCTTGTTGATATTATATTTGTATTCAGAATTACATATTTTTGGATTTAGTTAATTTTTGGAACTTGTACTTTTTGAGGGTAGTTTCTCAAGAGGTAATGAATATTACACCACACTGCTTGGGGTTTGATTTTAGTACCTATCTCTTCCAATGGATTTGTACTTTTTTTATCCTCACTTACTTTGTCAAGAATTTTCCAGGCTTATAACAAAATCTGCCTCTTTTCCATGAAAATGTTAAACGCTAATACTTACATAAGTAAAATGAATCTATCATGTTTGCCTTGTCACTTCAAGGCAATCAAAAAACCTTGGTGACAGAAAACAATGGGAAAATTTGGTATTACTAGTACTATTTTGTACAGTCAGCGTCAAATAGTTCGTGACTCCCAAAGTGGCCAAAAAGTTGAAAACACAACCTTATTCCAATTAATTGTAACAAAGACGTGTTGCGAACTTATTAGCTAGGTACTTTGGGTGTCACGAACTACACTCGACATCAAATAAATCGACCCTCCCGCGACAAGCACTTTCAAACGTATGCATCCCCACTTCCCACCAATATTGGTACCATTTAAAAGCCTAGTTCTAAACTTCATTTCATTAAAGGAAAGGTTTTTACCCCAAAAATGTGTCTGTAGAAGAATCCAGAGTCACTTCTTCAAAAAATATGTAGTTACGCTTGAGCCAACTTTTATGGCTATAAAACTGTTAAGTTGGGATTAATCGCTATCCATCTGTTAAAGAGGACACGTGAGACCATTATTTGGTTTTATAACCACAAAAATTGGTCTACTTGGTCCCAGAGGTGAGCCCCAAGTGAAGCCTTTTTTCAAGTCACATTAATATGGTAGGTACCTGTTAATTGTTTATAAAAAAAATAAATGTGTTTTTCTTTAAGTTTATATGGGCTTTCAAATAACACCAATATTGTTGGAGCACCATGATTGTGTCAGCAGAAGAAAATCTTTAAAGTTCGCGTCGCGGAAGGGTCGATTTATTTGGTACTTAGTGTATTTGACGCTGACTGTACTCTGTGGTTTCACATTATTGCACTAATGTCTTTATGTACACAGGCCACAACTCGACAAACATCGTTCAGTTAGTATAATGTGTCTATTTTCGTCACTTTTTATTGGCCTGTAGTTTTCCAAACGGAATTTAAAGAAAATGGAAACTCAGATAAGTATGCTGTCGCGTCCTTTTAGTCTGTAATTAAATTAAATATCGTAAAGTGAACACATAGTTAAATAAATATGAAATATTAATGCTTGGAAATGTACGAGTAATCCTAAAATAACACTAATTTATATTTGAATGGAAATTGCTCATGTTACATTAATTTTAACATCTTAGTGCATGCGACTCTACGTAGTTCAAAAATTGAAATAAAAGTATTCAGAATGAATTATCTTCAATGTTTCCTGAAAAAATTAAAATAACATAACTTGTAGTTATTCTCTCGGATACTTATAGTCTTAAACTCATAAAATAATGTCCGTAAAATATCTAAATATATAAAAGGAGAAACTGACTGACTGACTAACATATCAACGCACAGCCTAAACGGCTAAACGTAGGCACTTGAAATTTGGAAGGGACGTAGCTTAGGTACCGTAGAGGTGCACTAAGAAAGGAATTCCCACGGGAACGGGAATTAACGGGAAAATCCTTTTGTATGAAAAATCTAAACCGCTTAAGTTAGACGCATGGGCATGCAGGTACCTTAGTAAACTTAAAGCTTATGTACAACAGGATATTGCAAAATTCCCACGGGAACGGGAGTTAGAGGGAAAAAACATTTGTATGAAAAAATCTAAACCGCGTAAGATAGATGAAGGGGGTAAAACGCTAGTTACCAATAAGGTTCAAAATACAGTGGCAATATGATGTATCATCTAAAAGAGTTGAAGAATCATTGGGCATCATTATGATACCTTGTTCACACACTGTCCAAATGCCGTCACAACTGGCGTCAATTACGGTCGTTTGACACCTGACCCGCGCTATTGCGATGTGCGCGAGTTCTTACGCGCTCGGCGATCGCTGGGGTGACCATGGTGAAAGACATAAATACAGACTATCACAAGTGAGGGTTGAAACAAATACAATTACATCATATGGCCTAATTCACGTATTTTGACAGTCAAGATCTCGCTGACGTTCAGAAGTCGTCCCATTGAAAAACTGTTCCAAATCCGTATTCACGAGGGTCATTTCGATAGAAATATTACTCGATAGGATCGCAACTCAGCGATTTGTTGTCGTTGAAGTTTTGTTACGTCGTCCTATTGACAAACAGTTCTAAATAAGTATTCACAAGGGTCATTTCGATAGAACGATTACTCGATAGGATCGCAACTCAGCGATTTGTTGCCCTTGAAGTTTTGTTACGTGAATGAGGCTATTAGTCAAGTTAACTGCGCATCTCGCTGGCATGCGACTCATCCGCACATCTCCCCGTGTTCGACCCGTTCTTACCAGATCGTTGATGTGACGTCACGGCCGCCAGGTGCGCAGTTAACTTAACCGGCCTTTGTTTTATTTATTTAACTGTCTTTAGGTACTAGATTTTTTTTTTGGGTAATTTTCATACAGTTCTTTAATAAAATCTCTATTTTGTTTCAGAATCCAATCGGATGTGGGCGAGCGCTTCCTTCGTGGGAGTGCTCATCATCATCGGTCTGCCGTTATGGTGGAAGACCACCGAAGTGTACAGGTATTTATTTATAATAATTCAAGCTGCTTTACGTCATCCCGCGTAGAAGACGTAGTGTGGGAAGGCTCCACTAGGTGGACCGACGATCTGGTGAAGGTCACTGCAAGTACCTGGATGCACCTGGATGACTGGTCGTTATGGAAATCCTTGTCCAGCAGTGGAAGTCATTTGGCTGAAAACGAAGCAGCGCTGCTCTGCTAAAATTTTGCTTTAGAGATAAATCTTTTGCATGAAAAAGTAGAGAATAATTCAGTTGTATAGGAGACTCTTTATTTTTGTGCTCTTGTTTTAGAGAAGTTGTGGTCTATATTATTTTTTCATTGATTCATTTTAAGGTATTTTTCTCTCCTTACAGGGTAGCACTGCCCTACGACAAGATCAGTGCCTTCAACGAGCTGCCGAGCGTGATCGCTTCCGAGCTGACGATCCTCGCCAATGACCAGCAGACCGCGGCAGAAGTAGCTAGCTTCATACAGAAGGCTTTCCAGGACGAAGGTGAGGCAGAAAAATCCACTACAATACTCGTATCTTCTTAACAGTTTGGAACTACATGTCTTTAAATTAAGCCTAGGCGCAGACCATCGATTTTTCGTCGGCCGATAGTTTAGTCGGGCAGTTGATCAGTATGGGCATGTATGGAAGTGCGCACATTAAACCGATTTGGTTTGGCCGATTCTTCATACAATTTAAAATCGGGCTCAACTATCGGCCAACTAAAAATCGGTGGTCTGCGCCTAGTCTAAGGTGTGATATTATTTGAAGAAATTCGACACTTCGTGCTAGGTTGATGCGCTAGTATACGTATAGTAGACCACAGTTACAGCTACCCATTTCCATGTTCTCTTGATCTAGTCCAAATAATCATCATTTGATGAGAGCAAAAGAAAAAGGAAATAAGAACTGTGGCTCACTTTACAATATTAACTATTTTAAGTCCAGTTTATTTTGATTTATCATAACTACCATGTGAATCACTTCTTATTACTGTAAAAATCTGAAAAACAACGCTGCTCCAACCATCAAGTCTAGCCTCTCGTACTTATCTCAATATTGAGCTAGTAAAGTAGTAATTATGGATAACAGTATTGTAATCATTTTATTTACAGACATCCTCAACATAACAATCAAGAAATCAGTGCTGTCAGACGAACTCCACCGGACTTTAGAATCAATCGGTGACGAGCACGACATCTTGAAGCGAGTGGCAGCGAGCGTCGACCTGACCAGTCACAACCAGTTCCACTTGGTACAGAGGCGGCCGCTGAAGCAAGATGTGTGGTTGGCTGGAGAGGGGGTTATGTTCTTTAAAGATGCCAAAGGTAGGCCCGTTCATCATNGACTATAGTCAAGTTAACTGCGCATCTCGCTGGAATGCGACTCATCCGCACGTCTCCCCGCGTTCGACCCGTTCTTACCAGATCGTTGATGTGACGTCACGGCCGCCAGGTGCGCAGATAACTTGACCGGGCTGTATGTTTTTTATTTTTCTGTCTTTACTAAAAACTTTTTGGGTAATTTTCATACAGTTCTTTAATAAAATCTCTATTTTGTTTCAGAATCCAATCGGATGTGGGCGAGCGCTTCCTTCGTGGGGGTGCTCATCATCATCGGTCTGCCGTTATGGTGGAAGACCACCGAAGTGTACAGGTAATCTGTTATTAAAAATTATAATAATTCAAGCTGCTTTATGTCATCCCGCTTAGAAGACGTATGTGGCTGTGGCCCCACTAGGTGGACCGACGATCTGGTGAAGGTCGCTGCAAGTACCTGGATGCAGGCAGCGCAGAACTGGTGGTTATAGAAATCCTTGGGGAGGTCTTTGTTCAGCAGTGGACTTCATTTGGCTGAAAACGAAGCAGCGCTGCTCTGCTAATATTTTGCTTTAAAGATAAATCTTTTGCATGAGAAAGAAGAGAAATAAGGTAGTGGTATGGTATGGTGGTGCTCTTATTTTATTGAAGTTGTGGTGTTATTTATTTTTACTTATTCAGGAATATGCGTCTAATTCTGTCGTTTCAGTGACTGAGTTACTGGTTCTTCTCAGCCCTGACCAATTTACTGTCCCTAATCAGTTGTAGGGTTAAAATAATACTGGGACGTATAAAAGCGCCTTTTAAAGGCCTATTTGCAAAAAGTAAGACCTTTATTCATTATGTTTTTCTCTCCTTACAGGGTAGCACTGCCCTACGACAAGATCAGTGCCTTCAACGAGCTGCCAAGCGTGATCGCTTCCGAGCTGACGATCCTCGCCAATGACCAGCAGACCGCGGCAGAAGTAGCCAGCTTCATACAGAAGGCTTTCCAGGACGAAGGTAAGGCAGAACAACCGACTACAATACTCGTATGTCGAAGCTTCTTAACAGTTTGGAACTACATGTCTTTAAATTAAGCCTAGTCGCAGACCATCGATTTTTCGTCAGCCGATAGTTTAGTCGGGCAGTTGATCAGTATGGGCATGTATGGAAGTGCGCACATTAAACTGATTTGGTTTCGCCGATTCTTCATACAATTTAAAATCGGGCTCAACTATCGGCCAACTAAAAATCGGTGGTCTGCGCCTAGTCTAAGGTGTGATATTATTTGAAGAAATTCGACACATCAACCTAGCACGTGATGTGCTAGTATACGTATAGTAGACCACAGTTACAGCTACCCATTTCCATGTTTTCTTGTTCTATTGCAAATAATCATCATTTGATGAGAGCAAAAGAAAAAGGAAATAAGAACAGTGTGGCTCACTTTACAATATAAACTATTTTAAGTCCAGTTTATTTTGATTTATCATAACTACCATGTGAATCACTTCTTATTGCTGTAAAATGCGAAAAACAACGCTGCTCCAACCGAGACTTGACGGTTGGAGCAGCGTTGTTTTATTCCAATATTGCAGCCTCTTGTACTTATTCCAATATTGAGCAAGTATAGTAGTATTATGGATAACAGTATTGTAATCTTTTTATTAACAGACATCCTCAACATAACAATCAAGAAATCAGTGCTATCAGACGACCTCCACCGGACTTTAGAATCGGTGTCTGACGAGCAGGACATCTTGAAGCGAGTGGCAGCGAGCGTCGACCTGACCAACCACAACCAGTTCCACTTGGTACAAAGACGGCCGCTGAAGCAAGATGTGTGGTTGGCTGGAGAGAGGGTCATGTTCTTTAAAGATGCCAAAGGTAAGCCCATTCATCATCATCATCATCATTTCAGCCAGAACGTCCACTGCTGACCATAGGCCTCCACCAATGATTCCCACATCGAGCTCGTTGGTCCACCTTGTGGGTTGTTCCGGTACGTGGCCTCCACTCCAGAACCTTGCTGCTCCATCGACCGTCAGTTCCTCGTACTATGTGCCCTATCCATTGTCACTTCAGCTTGCTATTCCTGCGGGGTTTGCCAGCGACTTTAGTTCGTTTACGGATTCCTCTTTTCTTATTCAATAGAGCGTGGACCTTATGCGCTCGACCTATAGTGATATCACCTGCCGTATTTCAAGTTCTGAATTACCTTTCCAGCGTCACCAACCCTGGTCCAAGCGCTCAAGCAATGGGTATACCAGACCAGGGTCCTCCAAGGCGCGCGCTCAGAAGTAGCTGATGCAGCACGCCGCACGCGCTTCCCACCTGGTGCAGCGTACCACGTGGTATTGTCCGTGATACACCCCAGGCCTGACCAGCTCGAGGTGCAGTTCAATGCCAAGGATGCTGTCGAAGGTAAACCGATAAAATGTTTCATCATCATCATCATCATCATTTCAGCCATTAGACGTCCACTGAACATAGGCCTCCCCCAATGAATTCTCTTCCCATAATGGCCGACTGGTAGCGACCTGCATCACGCGACTTGATGCAGGCCGCTACCAGTCGGCCATTATGGTAGCGACCTGCATCGCGCGACTTGATGCAGGCCGCTACCAGTCGGCTATTATGGGAAGATGAGGTCGTCGGTCCACCTCGTGTGGACGTCCTACGCTGGACTTTTCAGTGCCTGGCCCTCCACTCCAGAACCTTTCTGCCTCATCGGCCGTCAGTTTTGCGGTAATGTTTCAACTTTCCAGAAATACTAGATCTTGAGTTTTTTGAAGCTGGTGGCTTTTATGAACTGTCTTTATACTGTTTAAGGTCTGCAAGCCTTAATATTGTCAAATGATGAACCTTGCGATACTCGGATCTAGTCGAATCTTTATAAAAGTTATTCTTCCTTGACAATGAAGATTTTTTTAATGCAGATCAAGGCAGGTATTTGACCGCAATCGCACCTGATGTTACGTGAGATGCAGTCTAAATACAAGAATTTTCTTCTGCTGCTGAAATTATTTCTTCTTTAATTTTCAGATTACATCGGCTCCTTCGTGGACGAGCTCAGCGAGCTTCACAACTTCACCCTAAAGTCGCAGTGGCTGTATTTGCTAGACTTCGACTTCAAAGCCAAAGAGGTATGAAAATTTTATATTCGCTATCGTTTTTATACTAAACAGTTGGCACCACTGGCCAGTGACAGGACCTCACCCTACAGTGATAGTCCTATCGCTTCAGCGCTCACTATTTGGCGTCACTGTCTTGTGTCTTATGCCCGTTTTCACCATTATTCCCTAATTTTTAAGTGACCCCTATGGTAACATATAACAGGAATTTTGTTTTCATAGGGGTCACTTCAAAATTAGGGATTGTTGGTGAAAACGGGCATTAGCCACTCAAGTGACAGTACCTTATAAGATTTTAAATTTTCACGTTTCATTACAACTAAAATAGGGAAACTCGGGTCTCAACGCAACATATTTATATGACGACGCGACGCCGTGAGCCGCCAGTCTGCTTGTGACCACGGCTTCAGCATAGAAGCCGAAACGTCAAGCCGTGAGTACATATTATGTAACTCATATAAAAGATGTTGACGCGTTGAGACCCCTTTCTCTATTTTATTTGACAGTACCTTACTCTACAGTGGAACTAACTGGTGAGCGCTAAAACTATAGTTACATAGACCTTATTAGACTAAAAGCTAGTGAACGCCAGACCTACGTCATTTTATAAAAGCTGTAAGTTTGTCAGCGTATGCTCCCAATATAGGATAGAATGTTGGTAAATCATGAAGATTGGGTCATCGTGGCTTTGGCAGCTATCCTAAAAAAATGTATAATATTTGGGGAATGATTAGAAGTTGTTTCTACATCAGCCAGATAGTTTTGACAGTTCCAACTCCTTGCCAGACAGTTTTTTTAGGATAGCTGCCAAAGCCACGATGACCCAAACTTCATGATTCACCAACATTCTATCCTATATTGGGAGCATACGCTGAAAAACTGTATTTTTTTTCCAGATAAAAGACAACAGCGAATGGGGCCGCCATTTTGCTGTCCGTANAGTCCGTAAAGAACGTCTCCACCTCCTCCTGACCAGCTTGGAGGAGCGCGCGGCGACTCACGTGTCGCCCCTGCCAACTCTAAACCTAGTCCTCTACGCCGCGCCCTGCAAGACTTCACCACTGCTCATACACGACGAGGCTGGTAAGAAGACCTCAAAGAACTCCGTTGCTTGAGCCTTATGACATGAGACATACGGTTCAAAATCGAATGCCCTCAGCCCAGCGCCAAAAGTGCCTTGACTTGTTTCTGATGCGCCACTGCACTGCTCATACACGACCGGGGAGGTAAGAACATAAGACTATGAACCTTGTCTCTTTGAGCATACTGTTTAAAGTCCATTGAATACATGTGCCAAGAGCGCCTTCATTTGTTCCTGACGCGCCGCTGCTCATTCGCGAGCGTAGACGTCACATAATGGACAATGAACCTTGTGTTTTGAGGCATACTGTTCAAAATCCATTGAATACACTTCGCAATGCGCCAAGAGCGCCTTCACTTGTTTCTGATGTGCCACGACCTGGGAGGTGTGACGATGAACAATGAACCCAGTGTCTTGAGGTATACGGTTCAAAATTGACTACACCCAGCAGAACGTCAAGAGTGTCTTCACTTGTTTTTGACGCGCCGCTGCTTATACATGATCGGGGAGGTGAGAAAAATGGACAATGAGCCTTGTGTCTTGAGACATACGGTTCAGAATTGACTACACTCAGCAGAACGCCAAGAGTGTCTTCACTTGTTTTTGACTCGCCGCTGCTCATCCACGAACAGGCAGGTGAGGACAGAAGACAATGAGTCTTGTGTCTATACTCAGCCGAGCGCCAAGAGCACCTTCACTTGATCCTAACGCGCCGCTGCTTGGGGAGGTCAGACAATGGACAATGAACCTAGTGTCATGAGGCAAAGGGTTCAAAATTGATTGTACGGATCCGAGCAACTAGAGTGCCTTCACTTGTTTTTATTGCTCATACACGACCGGGGAGGTGTGACAATGGGCAATGAGCCTTGTGTCTTGCGACATACGGTCCACAATCAAGTAACCTTGTAGCTTTGAGCATACGGTTTAAAGTCCATTGAATATGCGCATGCTAAGAGTGCCTTCACTTGTTTCTGACGCGCCGCGGACAATAAGTCTTGTGTCTTGAGACATACTGTTAAAACTCCAGTAAATACACTCAGCCGAAAGAATGCCTTCATTTGTTCGCGATGCTCATACACAACTTGGGAGCTCAGACAATGGACAATAAACCTAGTGTCTTAAGGCATACGGTTAAAAATCCCTTGAATATACTCAATCTAGCGCCAAGAGTCCCTCAACTTGCTTCTAACCAACCTGACGACATCTTGCATTTTAGTGTGGGACCATAGACAATCAACATGAAATTAGTCTTTGACAAAATGTGAAATTTCCCAAAGTCCCGTTTGTGCGAATTCCGCATAGAAACAGTGTTGCCATAATTATAATTAAGTATTCTATCCCTCTATAGTCTATACAGTCAGTTTTAAACAGTTCGCGATACCCAAAGTTGTCAAAAAGTTCGCGAAACACGTCTTTGTTACAATAATCGGAATAAGGTTTTGTTCTCCACTTTTTGGTCACTTTAGGTGTCACAAACTATTGGACGTTGACTGTACCTAAAGTACGGCCAACTAGCAGCGATACAAAAGGTCGATACGACTGTCGAGTTGACAATCTATTCTGTCTCTTCCCATCTTGTGTATTTGTCGTAATGTCTCGTTCTCCCGCCAAATATGTCAAAGTTAGACGGGTTCGTCAACATTCGGACATCCATCTTAGTATACAAGTTGTTGCAATTCACAAGGGCGAATCTTACTTGTCGGTTCTTATTTTATTATTCCGATATATTTAAGTCTATGAAAAAGGGGTAGGCCAATTGCCATACACCGGGCACATTGTGAGGCAGAAATGTTATTATTATTCTCGTTATTTAATTTAAATCTACATTATACAATAATTCACATTATTAAAAAAATAATCTATACTTATAATAAATCTGTAGAGAGGTCAATTCTGTACATGAAATATATTTTCAAAATAACTATCAGGGGGTGATTAGTGATCGATACTGATGCCAAAAATGCAATCAGTAAAATTTTTGTCTGTCTGTCTGTCTGTCTGTCTGTCTGTCTGTATGTTCCTTATAGAAACAAAAACTACTCGACGGATTTTAACGAAACTTGGTACAATTATTCTTCATACTCCTGGGCAGGTTATAGGATACTTAGGAATTCCCACGGGAACGGGAATTAGCGGGAATAAACATTTGTATGAAAAATCTAAACCGCTTAAGTTAGACGCTTGAAATTTGGCATGCAGGTACCTTAGTAAACTTAAAGCTTAGTTACAACAAGATATTGCAAAATTCCCACGGGAACGGGAGTTAGTGGGAAAAAACATTTGTATGCAAAAATCTAAACCGCGTAAGATAGACCCTTGAAATTTGGCATGCAGGTACCTTAGTAAACTTAAAGCTTAGTTGCAACAGAATATTGTGAAATTCCCACGGGAACGGGAGTTAGCGGGAAAAAACATTTGTATGTAAAAATCTAAACCGCGTAAGATAGACTCTTGAAATTTGGCATGCAGGTATCTTAGTAAACTTAAAGCTTAGTTACAACAGGATATTGCAAAATTCCCACGGGAACGGGAGTTAGCGGGAAAGAACATTTGTATGAAAAAATCTAAACCGCGTAAGATAGACTCTTGAAATTTGGCATGCAGGTACCTTAGTAAACTCAAAGCTTAGTTACAACAGGATATTTCAAAATTCCCACGGGAACGGGAGTTAGCGGGAAAAAAATTGTATGAAAAAATCTGAACCGCGTAAGATAGATGAAGGGGGGGTAAAACGAGATCCACGCGTACGAAGTCGCGGGCGGCCGCTAGTATTTAATAAAACATCTATTTTTATGGTTTACCAGATATTTTTTGAAACTATATTGTAAAATATGTAATCTAACTATTAAAAAGTGGGTGCATAACCCCTGCTATTCCAAATGACCATGACGTTGGGTTTGTTTACATTTGGTATCGCTTCTCGTTGGCCGTACTTTAGTTTCATTTTCTTCTACAGGCAACCCCATACAATCCCCGGTCCAGGCCTTTATGTCTCCCAAATGGGGGGGCGTGGTGTTGGCCAGCCCGCCGCCGGCCGCGTGCGCCGCCGCCGCCTGGGCGCCCGACGCGCGTCCACTCATGGGCACCTTTGTGGCGCAGCTGAGGACGCTTCTAGGAGTACCTGATATGGTGAGTCTTGGTACAGGACGGTTGGAAGACTGTGGATGATCGTGTTAAGTTTATCTGGCTGGTGAGATGGTTATAGGAGCGGATGATCAGCTACCAAGTGTCTTAAAGTGTCAAAGATGCCTATTTTTAAATAGTCAAGTGTCATGTGATTAGTGACACCTTCGTCGCACAGCTGCGGACGCTTCTGGGCATGCCTGATATGGTGAGTACTAGTTCTTAGACTCTTACAGGCTGTTTGAAGGTTATAGAAGACCATGAGAAGCTGCTTTGGCTGGTGAGACTGTTATAGGAGCGGATGATGAACTACCAAGTGTCTTAAGATGTCAAAGATGCATATGCCATCTGGGCACCAAATGTCTGCCTCACGATTCTAGTTCTTAGAGACTTACAGGTTAGTTAGCAGTCCCCAGTTTCTAATTGGGTCTTTATGCGTGATTTGTTGTTCTTTTTCTACTCCAATCAACTCAGATTACCCCAAAAAGCTTCTGACAAATACTGCAGACTTGGAGAATTCCTGCCCGTTGATCTATCAAGCTCCTGCGTCTTCTGCTTTTTCGTTTTTTCTGCCTCCATGCAGCCTCTGCATAGTGGGCTGTCAGTCACACCTATGTTCAAATCAAGTTAGCAATCCCCGGTCCAGGCTGAGGACGCTACTGGGGGTGCCTGACATGGTGAGACCAAATTACAGGCTGGTTAGAGGGTTCTGGAAGCTGATGAGAAGCTCCCAAGTAACATTTTACTCCATTTAAGAGTTCACATTTAGTTCCAATGTGTACTTAAAGCATTAGTACAGTTCACTCGTGATGTATAAGCTGTATTATTGCAATTAATTACACCTATACCTGTCTAAGGGACTTATAGGAGTGTAGACTAGTGTAGAGTTATACTTTTATACGATTGTTGGTGTTATAATAATCTAACAACTATCCTTTAGTCAGCCATCTGACTAAGAGCATTATAGGAGGGTAGTGATACGGCAACCGCTGTTTAACGGCCTACTTGTACGATGTTATAGAGCTAGCATTTTAATAGAACACACGTGGTCATTTATAAAGCCAAAGGCTGTTATGTTTACTTGTTTTAGACTGTTATACAGCTAGTAGCTGTAGTAGGACTTGTTTGTGGGGTCTAATGATGGAGCTGGAAGGTAATTCGCAATAAAACGACACAATCGCATCAAGTTTGGGTTTGGTTCAATTTTAATTTCTGTGATGGGTCTGGGTGTTAATATGTATAATAAGTTTGTATTTACAAAAAAAATGTATTTAAGTATGTTTATATCCGTTTTCTAGTGAGCGGACACTGTGAATGTACGTCACGCGGGGTCACGTGACCGTTGGCGGGACTCAATATTTAAGCGAACTTTGAATGCCTATAAAATCATAACTACTGGGTATTTTTGAATGAAATAAAAACTAATGTATTTGTAAATGTAAAAGCCTAACAGTAACATAGGTTTCAAGTGATTTTGCATACCTAGTAACATTCTCAATTAAACTGGGTACTGTGTAGGTGGGCAGCCCTATCGCATGTTGTCATACTGTGACGTACCGCGCGACTGTTGACATTTATTTCAAAAATATGGCCGAGTTACAATACTGTATAGATAGTATTACCGTGCAAAAGGTCGATACGACTGTCGAGTTGAAAATCTATTCTGTCTCTTCCCATCTTGTGTATTTGTCGTAATGTCTCGTTCTCCCGCCAAATATGTCAAAGTTAGACGGGTTCGTCAACATTCGGACATTCATTTTAGTATACAAGTTGTTGCAATTCACGAGGGCGAATCTCTTACTTGTCGGTTCTTATTTTATTATTCCGATATATTTAAGTCTATGAAAAAGGGGTAGGCGAGTTGCCATACACCGGGCACATTGTGAGGCAGAAATATTATTATTATTCTCGTTATTTAATTTAAATCTACATTATACAATAATTCAAATAAAAAAATAATATTCAATAAAACATCAATTTTTATGGTTTGCCAGATATTTTTTGAAACTATATTGTAAAACTAGTAGTGACCGANAAAAACTAGCTTTCCGCCCGCGGCTTCGCCCGCGTGGAATTTTGTCTGTCACAGAAAAACTTTATCGCGCGCGTCCCTGTTTCAAAAACCGGGATAAAAACTATCCTATGTTCTTTCCCGGGACTCAAACTATCTCTATGCCAAATTTCATCAAAATCGGTTGCGAGGTTTAAGCGGGAAAGCGTAACAGACAGACAGACAGACAGACAGAGTTACTTTCGCATTTATAATATTAGTTGGGATATGTAATCTAACTATTAAAAAGTTATGCACCCCTGCTATTCCAAATGACCATGACATTGGGTTTGTTTACAATTGGTATCGCTTCTCGTTGGCCGTACTTTAGTTTCATTTTCTTCTACAGGCAACCCCATACAATCCCCGGTTCAGGCCTTTATGTCCCCTAAATGGGGCGGTGTGGTGCTGGCCAGTCCGCCGCCGGCCGCGTGCGCCGCCGCCGCCTGGGCGCCCGACGCGCGCCCGCTCATGGGCACCTTCGTTGCACAGCTAAGGACGCTGCTGGGGGTGCCTGACATGGTGAGACCAAATTACAGGCTGGTTAGAGGGTTCTGGAAGCTGATGAGAAGCTGTGATACATGTGGAATAAAGGTGTCTGTGATTAAGGTTTTACAGGCTGCTCAGGAGTGCCTTTTTTGTTTTTTTAACTGGGCTATATTTGCATTTAGCATTCTATTGCAATTGTACGTGATTCGTACAAGCGAACAGTCGTGCTTTGAAGGCCTAAGAGTTGAAAGATGAAACTATACTCTTTGCATTAATATGTAACATACATAGCCAATGAATACATAAAACAAATTGAAAATAACGGTTTTAAGAACTAAAATGAAATCTATATATATAAAAGAAAGTCGTGTTAGTTACTCCACTTATAACTCAAGAACGGCTGAACAGATTTAGCTGAAAATTGTCAGGGAGATAGTTTAGAGCCAGGAGAAGGACATAGGATACTTTTTATCCCGTTCGAAATTAAAAAAAAGTCTGCTTATTTATTGCCATTAAGGCGGAACAAAGTTCGCCCGGTCAGCTAGTGTTATTCTAAAGGAAATTGTATCTTGAAATTATTATTGTTCAAAATAATCAGGTCACTGTCCCGGGCGCCTTCCTGGTGCCGCTGCGAGCCGTGTCCCCGCGACGTTGGGAGGTGGACGCATTGCTGCGTATGCGCACGCTAGAACAGCTCACCAACGCACAGCGGACGCTGCTTTCGCTCGCGCAATTGCTAGGTAATTAGAAAATTCTTTAACATATTTGTATTTTGGCCACGAGCGGATTGCGCATAGTGTTACCTACTTAGCTATGTCAAGTAAAGCAAGCTGTTAAAAACATGCCAATAAACTCCAGCAATAATAAAGGACTATTAGAGTCAGTATTTTACAAATAAATTTTGATTATATGAAAGACTAACATTTTGGCGCTGTATTTGATTTGATGTCCCTCATTTAATAGAAAGAAAGAAAAGAAGAAAAACCCCCTATAATTCTGAGTCCTTCCCAGATACGTTTCAAGTATAGCATGCCTTACTACTGCTGATCTTCGTCGCTCTTACATATTTATATTTTTAATATAACATGTTGTCTTCAACCCCCCTACAGGTGAAATCTCCAACATCGTGATCAACGACGAAGTGGGGGCTTCCATAAACGCAGCCGTGGACAGCATCCACCGCGCCAACGAGCTGGCTGCCCAAGGGAAACTATTGGAGGCCTACCGCGAGTCGCTGCGAGCGCACGCAGCTGCTGAAAGCGCTTTTATGGAGCCCAGTCTACTGGCGTTATTGTACTTCCCTGATGACCAGAAGTAAGTGCTAGGGTTTTCTATACTTACGCTATTGGTACCTAGGCCGTGTGGTTTCGGCAGAGCAGAGGCTCGGAGCTGTAGTGGAAACCGAATGACCTAATGATGATCGGAACTTATCGGATCGCCCAATCGCCAATCCAAATAAAGATGATGAAAGTAAAAAAACTTTTACTCCAAATTCCTCACTGTCATAAGCGATGCGCTATAGATGTCGCTCTGGCTGACAAGCATGAAAGACTGTGACATGACAACAGCCGAATGAAACAAGCGGGAGTTATTATAGTGATTTGTGGCGTGGCTTGGGGAAGCCTACGTCTTGCAGTGAAATGATCGTTTATAGTTTACTAGCTTTCCGCCCGCGGCTTCGCCCGAGTTGAATTTTGTCTGTCACAGAAAAACTTTATCGCGCTCGTCCCTGTTTCAAAAACCGGGATAAAAAACTATCCTGTCCTTTCCCGGGACTCAAAACTATCTCTATGCCAAATTTCATCAAAATCGTTTCGGTGATTTAGGCGTGAAAGCGAGACAGACAGATAGACAGAACGACAGACGGAGTTACATTCGAATTTATAATATTATAGTATAGAAGTATAGATAGGAATAAGTTTAAATAGTCCTGCTGAACATCAATGTCCTGACAGGATTCCAGAGCGGCCAAGATATACTGAGCAGGTGTCACTTTGGCACATTTTTTTTTGTAAATTGATTTATTCCTAAATAAAATCGTTTCTTTCTTTCAATTCCAGATACGCGATCTACATCCCGCTGTTCCTGCCGATCATGTTCCCGGTTGTGCTGTCTCTGAAGAACCTGCTGCTCTGGCTGCGCGGCAAGCCTTCGAAGATCAAGACCGACTAGAGTGCATGCTACTAATTTAATTATAGAGTTGTGAATACATTTATTTGTTAGGGAATTTGTGTATTTATTTATCCTTTAGAATCAGGGGTACCGCATTGACACTCATGTCAAGATCTTATTTGACAGTGACGTTTACCTGTAGGCAGTGGCGGGGCNATTTTGTAATTTAAATTGTTCCCGTATTAGGGAAGTACAAAATTAATAACTAAAGGTACATAAAGGTACACCTCAGGTATTAAAAATTCATATTTATATTATTCATTTCTGTGACCATACACCCGCCATTCTGACGTTCACAACCGTTCAGTAGTTTTTGCGTAAAAGAGTAACAAACATCCAGACATCCACACAAACTTTCGCATTTATAATATTAGTAGGATATTTGTATTTTGGCCACGAGCGGATTGCGCATAGTGTTACCTACTTAGCTATGTCAAGTAAAGCAAGCTGTTAAAAACATGCCAATAAACTCCAGCAATAATAAAGGACTGTTAGAGTCAGTATTTTACAAATAAATTTTGATTAAATGAAAGACTAACATTTTGGCGCTGTATTTGATTTGATGTCCCTCATTTAATAGAAAGAAAGAAAAGAAGAAAAACCCCTCTATAATTCTGAGTCCTTCCCAGATACGTTTCAAGTATAGCATGCCTTACTACTGCTGATCTTCGTCGCTCTTACATATTTATATTTTTAATATAACATGTTGTCTTCAACCCCCCTACAGGTGAAATCTCCAACATCGTGATCAACGACGAAGTGGGGGCTTCCATAAACGCAGCCGTGGACAGCATCCACCGCGCCAACGAGCTGGCTGCCCAAGGGAAACTGTTGGAGGCCTACCGCGAGTCGCTGCGAGCGCACGCAGCTGCTGAAAGCGCTTTTATGGAGCCCAGTCTACTGGCGTTATTGTACTTCCCTGATGATCAGAAGTAAGTGCTTGGATTTCTAAATATACTTACTGTATTTAAGGTCGGTACAAATACCTTGGCCGTGTGGTTTCGGTAGTACAGGATCATTGCCACTCTTCCTGTAGATGTCGTAAGATTACAAATATTATGTGAATATCAACTCTCCTCACCCGTCTGGCCAGGGTGGGGAATGTGGGGCAAATCCTCCATTTGCCTCTGGTAAATTAGAGAGCGTCTGATAAATTACACAAGGTGGACCGACGACCTCATAAAGGTAGCAGGAAGGCTCTGGATGCAGGCCGCCACCAACCGGCCATTGTGGAAATCATTGGGAGAGGCCTATGTTCATCAGTGGACGTCCTATGGCTGATGATGATGATGAAATTAGAGGGTCGTGCTTATAGTAGAGAAAGGGTGTAGTGGAGATCAAACTACCTAATGATGATGATATCTACAAAATCAAAATTCGTTTATTACACTATGTTTGGCCCAAGGTCGGCGTACAAATTTACATAACGCTACGCTACGCTATGGTGAATATGCCTAACGGCGGCTGAATGAAACAAGCAGGAGATCGTGCTTTGTGGCATTCCTTGGGGGACAGGTTTAAATTCAGTAGGGGACATAAATAATGAAGATATAAATATGCATGATTTTTTCATGCTATTCTCTATTTAAAGATCTCTTAAAATTCCTTAATCTCTTTTTAAAATATAGTGTTTTCATTCCAGATACGCGATCTACATCCCGCTGTTCCTGCCGATCATGTTCCCGGTTGTGCTGTCTCTGAAGAACCTGCTGCTCTGGCTGCGCGGCAAGCCTTCGAAGATCAAGACCGACTAGAGTGCATGCTACTAATTTAATTATAGAGTTGTGAATACATTTATTTGTTAGGGAATTTGTGTATTTATTTATCCTTTAGAATCAGGGGTACCGCATTGACACTCATGTCAAGATCTTATTTGACAGTGACGTTTACCTGTAGGCCTCGGATGCGCACCACGATATCGGGACTAATCTCACCTCTCGTTCCCACCGCTGCAACTCCTGTGTAGCCAGGATCTACAGCTTGGCCGCCAATAAACTTTTATTGATGCACTTTATCGATATTTAGCCTATACATTTGTCATCTAATTGTCGATTAGATTTTATCCAGGCACTCATTCTTGCCCGGCTGGTGAGTGCAAATACGGAAGTCATTCTACCACTTCTAATTGGCGCCACTAGCGCGCGACCATACTCGACAGTGGCGCCAACTGGCGAGCAAAGGATGTAAAGGAAATTAATTTAAATTAAGTTCACTTCATTAGGATTTTAAACTTTCTTGAATGGGGAGTTTGAGTCCCATTTAGCTTATTATAATTGAATTACACCTGTACACTTTCGTAGCTCATTAAATTCAATTGACTAGGCTCGAGTTTGAATTGACTAGATATTTTAAAGGTTTCAAATAAAACTTGAATTTGCTTCACATAATATATTAATACTGAGGTACTTATCCACAATGAAAATTCACTCATTACATTAACACTATGATATCGTGCACATTATAGAGTTGTGTAAGTTTAACCTTATCCTTAAATACAGGAGTAACAAGAATGGAGCTCGCATCGAATGCCGTGATATGTGACATATACTTGATATATTTGGTATCAAAACCTTCGCAATTCGATGTGTAACTCAAGTAAAATGACTAAACTTTTGCATAATAATTTGTTCCACAGAACAACAACAAGAAACATTTTTTAACAAAGGGTTTTCAGCAGTAGGTATGTAAGATTTACTTCTTTACACTAATAATGAACAAAATCGTCTCGCTAAACAAACCATTATCACTATTTTGCTTTGGCAATAAAATTAAACTTATTTTAAATAAAGCCTTGTTTTCTTTCTTTCACAATTTAGGTCTAACCCAAGAGTCAAACACATTAACGCTTTAAAGAAACCCTGGAATAAATAATTAACAAACGAATGTATATTATAACAAAACACATTAAAATCCTAACTTTACGTCATCATCAGTAAGTAGAATTATTTTTGCATCCTCAAAAAGTGTAAACATTTCTAAGGGTGCAATTTAAGTTTCCTATCAATTCTTGCAATAGCTTACACGTACCGCGTTATACCGTATTCACTGGAACAACTACATAACATTAATTTAGTTTTACTTAATTCATTATGACTCGATCCAGTCGGTTTCCGTCAACATAGCAATGTTCTCCCCTTTTCCGGGTAAATATTCGAACTCCCAAAGGGAGTTTGCTAGGACCAGTGTTTCTCCCTCATTCACATCGAAATGGAGAGTGAAACAGTCATCCTCGCATGGCGCTCTAGGCTTCAGCTGGACCTGAGTCTTGCCTTTCAGCTGAGACATGATGATCAGACCGACATCAAGTTCTAAATACTTGTATCTGTGGGTCTCATAGTTTCTGGAAAGGAGCAACCAGTTAAAATGCGAAGGGGGGATATGTGGGGATAGGAAATAGGGTCGTGGAGCAAGGATCCTGAAGGATTTAACGGCGCGGATGTCGCAGTTTTGGAAGTGGACGAACCAGCTAGGGATGTCGGTGTCGGTGATTCTGGAGACGATTTCTTCAAGGTCCATGGGTTGGCGGCCGAGGCGGATGTTTGTGAGGACTCTGCAAGGGACGGAGTCTCGGAGGCGGTCGTCGCTGGTGATAAGGCTGGTTAGGTTCAGCTCTGATCGGGAGTTGGACCAGTCATAGTAAGCGTCTACCACGATGACCGGTGCACCGCGGAGGAGGTGGTGGTTGAATACGGTGTTGTAACTCGCGTCGGATACGCGGTCGATGGTTTCTGAAACGATTTTTTTTATTATTTATGAATGGAAATTAGTGTCTAGTGTGATATACCATTCTGCCTTAAACCAAAGTTTGACTAGAAAATAACACCACTGGCATTAAGTTTGTCTTTATTGGAGTTCTTTTGTAAAATAAATAATTTAGTGATATTTTTATTCGATTGATTTACTGATTGACTGATTGATCTTAATAACTTAGATATATGTATACAAAAAGTATTCTATAAAACAATAATTGACACGAACGCACCCAAACTCACGCTACTAGAATTATTAAATAAAAGTTAGCGATGTATCTTTGTCTAATTACTAATAGCACATTAATTAAAATTAAAAACGTACTTATAGCTTCGCAAGCGACACACTCCGCGGGCGATACGAAATTGTTATCCAAGTTCTGGGGCTGGGACCTCTCGATCAGGCATTTGTTGTAGTACAGCGGGGTCCAATCCCAAATAGGCAGCAGTTTTATCAACACAATCCTCGCCACGGCCGATGCGTGCCACTGAAACGTGTCCGTTTGGCTCACCGTGTAGCCAATAGCCAAAACCATCACCAGGAACATAAACACCCTCGTCCACCTCTTTATGGAGGCCTTGCGCACCGCATTCGTCAGCGGACGACATATTAAATCCATCTCCTCATCAGACATACCAGCTTCTTTACAATACTCGTAAAACGTACGCACTTCCAAGTTAATCAACTCGAATTTCTCGCGTTGAGACATTTTTGCCACGTTTTTGAGACTCATTTTCGATGTGACCTACTCACTCGGAGCGATCAATAATAAACTTGCGACGCGGCTATCCTATCGATGGAATGAAAATTCGCGCGCGCGCTTTTACGCCTACTTTTTACTTTCATATTGCAACATTGTGCGACGGAAGTCTTTGAGTATAGCAATATTGGTAACTTAATAGAAATGCTTTATTGAATAAAATAAATTAATACTAATATTTTATTTAATAAATTAAGCAATATAGTTTTATTTACAATAAATACTATTTGTAAATTTTTAACCAAATGTTGTTCACTTAAAATTATTAAAATTACAATCGTTTATACTTTAAATAAATCAACAAAATATTACCATTATAATAACATTGACAAATAAATTATTATTTTTACTATACAAAATAAAAAATAAAGATTTTTTTACTTTCTCTTTTTGCTATGTAAAAAAAACAATGTGTCAAAACAATTTTCTTTTGTGGCAGCACCAAAAGTCAAATACCTTTTCCGCCATATTGAAAGTTATTCGGTGGGAAGTTGGTCAAACGTTGACCTTATTCAATATTTCTATTTATTGTGCTACAATATTTATTCAAAAAGTGTTTTAAAAATTCTTTAGTATATTTAACTATTTGTTTGTAGTGATTGATATACAAATAAGTGTGTTTTGACATTTTTGCAATTCGTTTGACGAATACGTCATAGCGCCATGTTGTATTCCTGCGCTGATTGCAGGCACGAGAAATCTGCCAACCCGTTTATTTTTCGGGATTAGTTCCCGAGAATAAATCGAACTGCGATTTTGTACTCAAATATATTTTAGTTTATATTTGTTGGCAAATGTCAAACAACTTTAGTGAAATCGATGCATCCCTGTTGTCGCATTTCGAGTGTTAACTCCTAATTTCAACTGCAGTTTTGTGCATCCGCGAAAGTTGAAAGGACTGTGTTGTAAAAGAAAGAAAGTGACAATTAGCCAAAATTCCGGTCCCTACGCGCAGACGAGAAGGTGCCTACCCGCCGGGGCAGTCGGGCGAAGGAGACATGAACAACAAACGTAAAAATCGCCAAGGACCGCCGAGGTAAACGTAGTTTCATCGCTAACTTTGTGATCTAGGATGACATGTCTTTGTTGTAACTCGTGTGATTTTTCGATGGTGTTGTCACGTTGACAGTTTTTGTGGTGTCTAGCGTGGGGAGGGCCGTGTCGGCGTAAACAAGAGTTGATGAGTTCGCGATCGTGCGTTGGGTGTAACGCTGTCATGCTGCGTGCGGTGCAGCGCGCTACTGCTAGTCTAGATGCTTGCCCTACTTTGCTCGAGTACTCCGATTAATATAGACGCGTGCGATCAGCTGATCCCAGTGCCTAAATTATTAACCACGGTACTTATTCACCCTTCCTGCCGGATTTGTAGCCCCACTCGCGTCTATTTCGAGTGTTGTAAGTTATTTTTGATATACATTTCACTTTTACTTTCTTGTTTCCACTCTCAGGTGCATTAGTGAGACGTTAACCTGTTCATTATTGGTTGAGACATTAACGGAGAGAGTAGGAAGTGAGATCCATTTGTCAACAGTGCTTTTACTCCATTCCTTCTAGGAAAGATCAAGTTTTGGCAAAAATCCAGGGGTCCTAATTACAAGTCTTTTGTTTTAGTTCATTTGATAGTGATTGTAAGTTTAAATGTCTTTGTGTTGTGAGATGGTATCCCGTTGGTTGGTTGCTACAATGTTATCTGTTGTATTCCAAATAGCTGTTGTCAGCATGTACCTACTTCCTATTCTGTTATCAATATTTTAACCCGATGGTTGTATGCCAGTTTTAACAATAGTGTAGTAACACATTTTAACAATGTAGGTTAGTAAAAGTTTCAAATCAATTCATTCAATCATTTATTTGCTAATCTAGCAGATTTATAACTAAAAGGTCATGTAAACAGTCTGCAGTCAAAAGTTTTGTTAGATTCAATACAATCTAGACACAAATTTCAATATGGAGAATAAAATATGAAAGTGCTCCATCAATAACTCATTGTCTGTGAATATGGTAGTATTTGTCGGTAGTTGTTTTTGACGACACCTAAAAATTTAATGAAACTGTAAATTTTGCTCTATAATCGCTTAATAGCATTATCACAGTTATCATTGTCTTCTTCCTAGTATCTTTAACAAAACAGAATAACTGCTATATCTCAAAATACCCCCTTTAGTCTGCGTCTATTAACATTGACATTGAATCGTCTATCACCATTTACATGCATAAACTGCTTGTGCTAAGTGAAATAACATTGAAATCTACGAGTTGCAACAGATTACAAAGCTTTAACTTCTTATAGACTCATCATTCCGTACTATAATATATTTCTATTTATACGAGTTATCAAAATCAGTGCTATATCCGAAAAGAGGTCTTATTTGTATCTATTTTTAGTTCAAGGTTCAGTGGATGCTTCATTTGAATTTCATGGGAGCTTGGAAAAGCATGAATTGAATAAATTACTTTAAATTTACATCCATCGTTCAAACATTTGCCCGCAATTCATGGGTCCATTGTGATTTTCGAACATAATATTACCATAAAATTGACAATGTTGCATCCTGGTTGAATATTGCTACAATACCTTGATACGATTATTGTAGAATTGTATTAAGTAGTTAAAATTGACACTAAACAATTAAAAATTGAAAACTGGAAATACCAAATAGCACC